ACATCACTAGGTAGGTATGGGTATTACTGACATCTCTTAAAAGAGGTTTAAGCTTAGTTTATATATGATCGAGATCATAAGGCATTTAAGTCTATCTCGAAAGGCAGGTGACGGCTTTCGAGATATTCTTCTTTCTCTTTAGACTCGCGGCCCGTAATAAGGGTAGATATCAGCCATTTTCCTTATACAATGGGGTATGCGCCCTTTGGAGGTAAGTGACCATCTATACAAAGTGGCAATGGGCTGTACTCAAAGTAGGCACTCCTTAATCTTAAAAAAACTGTGGACTGCACCCTAGGTATCTCAAAAGGTATCCCTGCACACAATTGTCTACTAGCATTTGGACCATCCCGAAAGACGACAGACTGCACCTGAGGTAGTCATCCGCCCATCCCAAAATACAATTCATGGCACACCAGGCATGCCTGCTTATAGGAATTCGTTTATAGCTAAAGACGATTTCACATGCATGCACCCGACAGGTACAATCACCCATCTTTGAGCTGAGATAATGGCTGGTGCCTAGGAATAGGCTGTTTTGCACGAACACGAAGTTATCTTAAGTCCTTGCGTGGGTATGTAAGGTCCCTAGGGACATACCTCTATAAAAAGGATCACGCGGTTCGAATCTCGCAGAGGGGACGCTATTTCGTTGAGAGACGCTAAGTTCGTACAGAGAAAGAATCATAACCTAAACGCAAGGTTTACGGACGGGAAAGGATTACAAGAATTGTAAGTAGAATTATAACATATTTTCAGTTTGTATTAGTTCGAGGACAATGAATGAGTTGCCAGTAATCGGATACCCGTGTTTGAACTCTGGGATCGTCAGGGGGCAAACATTGCTAGTCGCTAGAAGGAAATGTATGGCGAAAAGCTGTTTCGAGGTACAAGAAAACGATTTTTGAGAGAGATCAACGTTTTTTCGCCGTCGTTTTTATCACAAATGGATTTGGGCAATGTTGATATGTGGAATATGTAAGTGTTTCTTTGAATAACTGTGAAATATGTGACAAAGTCTACCGATAAACTCCGTTGCTCGCGTGAGGTTTATTGTGAAATTTACATCACGTAATGGTCTGAAAATATTACAAAATTTATTAGGTATAAATCGAGAGGAAGTAACCCAGTAAAGCCTTTTAAGTTGTGTACAGGCTACTTTTGGCTTA